CAAAAGGTAAAATGTATTAAAAAGAAGCACAATCTACAGAAAAAATGACCCAGAAAATAAGGAGATATTTAAAAGATGTTTTTGACAAAGGATAGATGTTGTATGATGTAAATATCAAGCCAAAAACCCCTGAGTGATAGCGCTGTGATATTTAAAATTAATAGAACTTACACAGTTGTCATTTTTTTAATATTTCCTCTAGTTTTACTGAAAAGTGCCAATCAACTCACTCATTCATATACCGGTACTACTTTAGTTGCTATTACTGTGCTATGGTTTTGCTACAAAACAGGTTTTTTTTTTAGTAGTGACACTAGCCAAAGAAATGGAAGCCCTCTGCTACTTTGTCCAGAGTTAAGAACTGAGCTGGTGACAAAGGGTAACCCTGTAGTATGGTATGCTAGTTTATTGTTTTTCCATGAGGACTGTAGAGGTCTGTGAATTTCAATCGGCAACTGCCTGCATGAGGTTTGGTCCGGCTCCTGAAATTCAAAGAAATGATCTCTAATTAAAAAGCACTGCACATGTTTGAATAACCATTTCATTATTAAAACACCTTCATTGTCCAATTGGGGTTTTACATTTTGTCAAGTGAGAAAGTACAAAGCCTGCCCTTGTAATCAGAGATCACCCAATGTCTGGCTTAAACCCACAACTCTGAGATTAAGAGTCTCATGGTCTACCACCTGAGCTAACTGGGCTATGTCATAATATAATAAACACAATTTTTCCATCTGAAATATGTTTTTCAGAATGCACTCTCCTTACAAAACTCAGTAATTTGTATGACCCACATGCTTGTATGCATGCCTCACAATTTTCCATCTGAAATATGTTTTATGATTTTTAGGGGGGAGGCTAAAATTATTCATTGGTCATTGATACTAGATTAAACTCCAATTACTGTGTAAAAGATAATGAGGTAGTTAGTTCAAATTTAAAAAGCTAACACAGTTCTTTGGAACAAAAATATATTTTTAGCATGGCATGTTTGATGATGGCAATTTTTATTTTATGAAATAAGCAATACTTAAGATAAGAGTAAAGCTAAAGGATAGGTGTGCTTTCAAATGGTCCTAAAGTAAGTAAATACTTATACGCAGAATATAAAAAACCAACATTATATATAGGAAAAATGTTAATTTTAATTTTTTGTCCTATAAATAACATAACTGAAATAAACAATACTAATATTGTTTTTTTTATCTATAGATTTTATCTATTGTTCTGATTTTATCTGTTTTGATTTTATATACTGTTTTGTTTGTTTGTTAATTAGTTTGTTTGTTTGCTTGTTTTAATCAATTTTAAATCATGCTTTTGATTTGTTTTTGTTTCTAATGTCTCTGTAAAGCACTTTGAATCACCTTGTTGTTGAATTGTGCTATACAAATAAACTTGCCTTGCCTTGCCTTGCCTAATAAATCAAGTAATTGTTAAATGTATGCTTGCTGATGCTTCAGCCGCTCTACTTTATATACTGCTGTACAACAGCGTGTTGTGTTGTGTTGGGGTCCTTCAGGCGAGTGGTGGCGTCATTTCCTTGGGGCTGCTCCCTGCTGCTAGACATCATAGGACCTCACCGATAATGCCACACATTCTCTCCAACTTCAAGATAAGGTCAGAGAGAAGTGAAATCTACACCCCCCCTTTTTTTAATGGAATGGAAAATGTGTGTACTCAAATAAAATTAAAGAGCTTGAATCAGTTAAATGCAAATTTAACTCAAGTCATCTGGCTCTGTCACAATATTTATTGATTTTAAACCAAAGATGACAAGTGATAGGTAGATGTAATTAAGACGCCAGATCATAAATGATAAATCATACGTGTCTCAGACGTCTATTTTACAATAAATGGGACAGTAATTTACTAAATGAACATCAGGCTATATTAAATAAGGATTAAAACTAGACACTGAGATCCTAAACTCATAAGGAAAGTGCCCACTGAGACTATAAATCAAGTGATCAGCTGGCTCCTTTTCTCGCAGACTTCTGTGCATCTGATTTCTTTTTAAAGCAGACGAGTCGCCCCTGCTGCTCAGTAGAAAGAATGCAGGTTTAAGCCACTCGGTGACTTCGCTTTTTTCACCCAGGGCAACTTCCATCTTAATATTCAATCAAGGCTGCTCCCTGACTCCCAAAGAGAGATGTGGAACAGATTTTACACTGAATGCTCTTCCAAGCTAGTCTAGTGCCAGCCTTGGGATTGGCACTGGATGAGCTCGTGACCGCCTGAGGCTGTGTTTGTGTCTCCTCCTGTCATGGATCTTTAGTGTTGGACCCAGTCTTTTGTATTTTTTAGAATCCTAACTTCTGTTTATCATTCAATATGTTTGATTCTTAGTTTGTTTAGTTTTTCCTCCTTCCTTTGTATTTGTCTCTTGTTACTGGTGTGTACTGCTTGCATTTATTCTTTAGTTTTTTTTAATCTTACCTCCACAATATTCCGAGTCCTTGTTCCCCAGTTTTTCCTTATCCTTAACTGAGCTTGCTTTTCCTTTGTATTGTGTAAAGCAAATATACTAACCACTAAACCAGTCTAGATGTCATAAACGAAGCTACAATCACATTTTTGATTTTGCTGCATCAGCTGTGATACTTTAAAACTGGTTCATTGTGAGAAATAAAAGGTAATAGAAATACTAAGCCGAAAGAAGTACTCTTAGATATCACTTCATAACATTTTATAGGATTAGAGTCGAGCAGCTGCAGGGCTTACCGGGACAGGATCAAATTGTCCATTAGAAGAGAACTTCATCCACTCCAGAAAAAAGCCACTCTGACAAATCAGACCTCACAGGAAAATGGATGTATGTGCTGCTCTTGTCGATAACACACTATTAAGTGAAGGGGACGTGTCAGCGCAAGAAAGGGCCTAATCCAATCAGCAGAGTAATTAAAAACACCACAGCACAGCAGCCACTACGGCTGATGGCTGCATTGTCAGAGGCACCATTCAGCATGTAGCACAGAGGGGGGGATAAACAGTAGTCATGCCAGGTCGGAGAAATGGCCATCTCACCACTGCTGCTGTGTCATTAGATTTACAATCAGGAGCCGCACAGTTAAAAGGCAAATATTCAGAGAGTGAGAGAGACCAAGAGCACCCCATGATGGCCATAACCCTGGTTCTCTTCATTCCAGCCGCCATAATCATTAATATGGCTTTAATTCACATCCTGCTCTGTGTTTCTATTCACTCGCTGGCATTGTTTCCTAATTAGCCTTCTCTTTATGGCCCCGGCTCTCATCATCTTCTCGTGCCATTTAGCCCAGTTTCTTCCTTGTTAATTACCACCACCACCTCTCTCTCCACCCAGCACACACTCAGAGCCAGAGCTGCCGAGCTGCAAGCCAGCGTGCAGTAGGAAAACACACCGCCAGATGTCACCCACGCTTCAATGCCTCCAATCTGTATTTTTATGAAGGCTAATGGATTTTGTTCTTGGCACCGTGTCACACTCGGTGCTGGTGAGTGTTCGTTTGTGTGTGTTTTCTTCACCAGGTTAACGCAAAATACATTATGCACATATTTAAGCAGTAATATTTGCAGGGATGCAGAAAGAGCAACAGGATGCTTCTCCTCCTCCTCCTCTGGTGATACATTGCTGGGGCACACCATGTGGCCTCGCTCCACGCTTGGTGCAGTTTGCCGTGCTTTAGCCGGTGACTTGGCCATCCTTCTTCTCCCCTCCGAGGGCCACTCACCTTCCTCTGTGTGCAGCCGAGCATGAATCTGCAGCTCGGGAGGCGCTCTGGATGTGTATGTCAGGCTGCCTGGGAAAGGGGTAATTCCGAAGGGCAGTAGAAGTAATAGGGTAATCTATTATACAGTCCAACTCTTTTCTTCCTCTTTTCTTGCCCCCACCCCGCCCTCCTCTTTCTCAGTCTTTCAGTTTCTCGCTGCCTCTGCCCTTGCATCAGCATTTCATGAGGACAAATGAGAAGTAGGGTTTAACTATGCACATTCCCACTGCCCTCCTGCAGAGCCCAGCACTTTCTCAATTAAACCAGAGTCTGTCTGCCCCGCAGGATTCAAAGCTCACCGAGCGACGAGTGTGGGAAGCTCACACACAGCAGACAGTTTCCAGTCCAGCAGTGTGTGATCACAGCCATAACCAGCCCGTGTTATCATATATGCAGCAAACTGCAATATAGTTTTGACAGGTGCACACGAATAGCAGGAACAAAGCAAACATAGTCACAGTGGGGACACTGTCAAGGGAAGGATATATGACACTCCAGGGATTTATGAAGGATTCAGATTTTATAGTGTGAGGGAGAAGCTCAATCTAGTGATATGTGGGGCCGCATGAGCAATTTGTGCAGAAAAAACTGACACAGAGTGGAAAAAAATCACTATAATGTGCATTTTATCAGTTTACTGAGAGAAGTATAAGCAGTTATGTGTTACTTTTGGTGCTTGCCACATGAATTTATGCACGCGTTGAGCCTATGTCAAACATTTTTCACCCTGCTGCATCGATCAGCCCCTTTTTCCACACTTAAACTCCTTCTCCGTTAGTGTTAAGAGCACTTAAAATCGTGTGCCTCATCAGTTTCTATTGTCTTTAAAAAGGTCAGCCCACAGTGATAGGGCAATTAAACTCTCTCCTTCCTCCAATCCGTCCCCACACTTCACTGTTTTATCGTCAAACCTTTCACCCCATCACTGACATTTTCTCTCTTCTTCTCTCCATTTTAGTCCCACCTCCCAGAGAGACAGAGAGAGAGAGAGAGAGGAGCGAGAGGAGCTAGAGCACAACCAGCATCTCCTCCTCCTCCTTTTACTCGCCCTCTCTCGACTCCCCTTCTTCCAGCACACGCTTGCACTTCTTCCCTCTGATGCTGACTGGATGCAGACCGGAGGATTTCCAGCAGCTTCCTGAGTCTCTGCTCCTTTCCTCCCTTCCTCTCTGTATCCCCCCCCCTTTCCCTTTCCCTCCTCCTCCTCTTTTTTCCAACATCTGAAGCTTCTCTTCTTCTGCCTCCTCTCTTTTACCCCTTCCACACCACCAGGATGTGGCACTCAGTGGCTCTGCTCCTCTCTGGATTCTCTGCTTTGATCCACGGTGAGCCTCTCTGTCTGTCTTTCACTCTGTTTTCAGGGAATCGGATTGCAGCAGCATTTTAGCGGAATTCGGGCGCTGGGGTCCACGTTGCTGATGCTTGATTTACAAAGTATGCAGTGGAATAAGAATAGCAGGAAGTAGGAAAGAGACTCCGGGAGAAGAAAAGTGAGACTCTTGCTCACCTGTTTGCTTTGTTTGTTTACGTCTTAACTGTGCTCATATTTTCTGGATGTTAGTTTAGCTGAGAGACGGGGTTGGATGCCTCTGCGTGAGATGTTGTAATGGGCAGATTGACATCTAGTCAGCACAGCGAGGCAGATGTCAGATAGAAAAATGGAAGCAGTTTTTGCCTTGGCTCTTTCTGCACAAATCTGTGTGCACACGAGGGGCTCTCACATGGAAAACCTGTCAGAGATCAAATGAATTGACGTATAGATTGGCTCTTCCATCTCCATCTTGCCTCTCCGTGTCGTGGACATGTTGCTGCAGCCGAGCCGACGGCGCTCCGAGCAGCACAAGTAAAAGCTAAACATAAATGCTGACAATTGATTGAGAGACCTGAGAGGAGAGCAGGCAAACTTTACCAACAGGGAGAAGTACCAGCAGTGAAAGAGTGTTCAGTTTGTTTGGTTTCAAAGACTAAAAGCTGGGAAACATGAACAACAAGAAGACAGAGGAAGCGAAAGTTTCTGACAGTATTTGGGCACGCAGATTTTTAAAGAAAAAAACATTCAGGGAATTTTCATTACTTGGCAAGCTTTGAAAGGAAACGCCACCACAAGTGCATGTAAATTTGTACTCTGCACCTCTAGGGTTTAATCCTGTCATATTCCCAGCAGCGAACTTATATAAGAGTGTAATATATAAAAAAAGAATTCCTCCATACTGTTCAGAGTACAGGCTGCATCTGCTTTTCGCAGCAGTTTATTTGGGTATCAGCACACCGAGTGACATTTTCACTAAACAAACAGTTCCTTCCATTTCACGCACAGCATACCGCATCCCGGCAAATAAATTTACCAATTTACCTCGGAAATATAAAACTTTATCAGTATGAAATGCACAGACTTTCTGCAAGATCCAACTCTTCCACATATTTTTCTGCAGGTTCTCAAATCTTTTCATGCTTTTAGTATTTTGATCATATTGACACGATAGCATCCCACTGATGCTGCAGATTTGTCGGCTTCACGTGTATGATGTGAATCTCTCATTCCACCACATCCCAAAGATGCTCTGTTGGACTGAGATGTGGTGAATGGCCCATCGCTTTCCAGGTCCAGCATGTTGTCTGTGTATATATGCTGTAGTGTTTGGTTGTATTGAGTTACTGTTGTCTTCCTATCAGCTTGAAGCACTCTCTGACATCAACATGATCCGGGGAACTGCTGCTCACTGGATATTTTCTCTTTTTCGGACCAGTCTCTGTAACCTCTAGATGGTCGTGTGGGGTAAATTCCAGCAGATCAGCAGCTCCTCCGATACTCAGACTCAGACACCTAAATCACAATGCTTATCCATTCTGCCAGCGATTGGCTGATTTGCTTTAACAGCTGTACCCAATAAAGTCGAGTGTACACATTTCTCTTTTTAGCTTTAACATTTCATCTACGAGTTTCAGAGCTGTAGTTTAAAAAGGAAATTCCCACACTGAAAATCTGACACTTTTGATAAAAATGTAATAATTATTTCCTGTATGTATATTTCACTGTCACCTCACAGCTAGAAGCCTGGTTCAAATCTACTTGGTAGAGTTTGCATGTTCTTCCTGTGCCAGCGTGGGCCTCAAACATGCTTGTTAGGTTAATTATCTGCAAATGTGGACGTGAGAGGGTTTTGTTGTCTCTGTTGACCCTAAGACTGAGCGGCAACTAAGGGAGGGCTCTTAGTTGAATAAACAGCCAAGCAAATGGATGGATGTAAGCGTGGTATAAACAGTAAATTAAAGTTCTTGGCTAGACCTTGTGTGTTATGATGGGTATACTGAGAGGAAACAAACAAACAGCTACATGCACACAAATAAACGGCACATTTGTGGTCAGGGTGATATTTTCTCACTTCTTCTTCTCAACATTTTAATGTGCATTACCTTTGAGCTTCTCAAACAAACTTAATTACACATTAATTAGTGCCAGTTATGCCCTGATAAGGTTTTTCTACATTTCTAATTAGTTCCTGTTTACTTAATGTTCTCCACGCTTGCTCTGAAGCTTTCTTCTCTTTGCTGATTTTTCTTCCGCGTTTTCAGCATTAATTTGAAATATTTTATTCTGACTGAGGAGCTGGACCCTTCCCCAGTGTTACATTTAAAGCCCAGATAAGTGATCAGATCTATTTCTGCTAATTTCATCATTAAACCTGCTTCTCCTCATGCATTTCCTCCTGTCTTCTTTTCATTTCAGTCATGTTCTTCCAGATGTATTTATAGATAAGGAGGCTGAAATCCTCAAGGTTAAATCTTCTCATTTGATCAGCAGCCTGTTTTTTTTTTTTTGACATTTGTTCCCCCAGTGTGCTTTTTAATGGAGTTTTTCCTAGAATTTTAGAAACACACTTTATAATCTGGACCCACTAAAAGTGAACATAGAGACATTAGAATCATCAAATCTCGCTTGCTTCCACACATGAGCATTATATCAGATTCAAACCTTTCTTCTGCCTTTCAGTATCATTGCAGGGCCCTCATCAGAGGACTCTGCTGAAAAACCTCCTGAAGGACTACAACCACATGGAGCGACCAGTGGCCAACGACTCCCTACCTCTCAACGTCTCCTTCAGCCTCAGTTTGATACAGATCATGGATGTGGTAGGCATCTCCGACTCATTTGGGGGCTGTTGATTTCTGACATCAGACAAAACATTTTAAAAAGGACGAATTCAGATCCTTGGATTAAGATTTAGTTTTTCATGGAGAACACTGAGCATTTGCTTGTTTGCAATTAAAATGGAAATTAGACTGAAAAAAACCCCCAAGCATTGAGCATGTAGTTTGTTTATGCCTGAAACTGTGGTATTAATAATGCACCAGATTTTTTTTTTTCAAATATTTGATATTTGTTTGTGGATTTATGGATCAAGAGCAGTGCTCACACCTCTTGCCTTGTGGTTTATATGGCGAATGATGATTTAAGTGGTGTAAATGTTTTGCAGGATGAGAAGAACCAGGTGTTAACCTCTAATATGTGGCTGCAGATGGTAAGGACCCCTGAGAGACTCTGAATGTTTTGGGGTGATAATTTTTTTAAATTGTATTCCAGCGGCAAAAACTAGTTTTCTCAGTCTTTAACATGCAAATTAAGGTCACCCTGAAGTCCATGTATCATTGTAATCACTTCAGCGTGGAGGACCTAAATGTAGACACAGGCTTGATAAACATAGAGAGACATAAGATGAGCAAAAACGGAGAGAGGGAAGACTATAATGCAAAAAGGATTGAACAGAAGTGAATTTAATGAGGATGGGCAAAAAGACAAAAGCAGGAATATCTGTGCTGGTTCTCAGTCATCCAGGTCATGACAATCCAAGGAGCTTGGAAAGCGACTGGACTTCTTTAAGTTTCTTGAAGACAGTCTTAGAACTGAAGAAGCATCTTGGATGAGAAACGTCTTCAAGAAACTTAAAAAGGTCCAGTCGGGCTTCTTTCCAAGCACCTTCGATTTCAACGGCAGGAAATTAAAAAGAAACTGCACACTGTTATCAGAATAACACAGTAGATGGAAGAGTGGCATCCTTTTATCTTCTGTTTTATTTTGATGAACAGTAGAGGGCTTTGGAAATACACCATATTGCCAAAAGTATTCGTCACCCATCCAAATCACTGAATTCAGGTGTTCCAATCACTTCCACAGCCAGAGGTGTATAAAATGTACTTCTACAAAAAGTGAATCACTACAAACCTCCGAACTTCATGTGGCCTTCAGATTAGCTCAAGACCAGTGCATAGAGCTTCAGGGAATGGGTTTGGGAATAGCCGCTTCCTGTTCCAAAAGCACTGCGCACCAGTGCACAAAGCAAACTCCATGAAGACATGGATAGTTTGGTGTGGAAGAACTTGACTGGCCTGCACAGAGTCCTGACCTCAACCTGACAGAACACCTTTGAGATGAATCACAAATGCATTTCCAGAAGAATGGTCAAGAATTCCCACGAACACACTCCTAAATCTTGTCGACAGCCTTTCCTGAAAAGTTGAAGCTGACATCATATTAAACCCTATGGATTGAGATTTGGATGTTACTCAAATACACGTGTGCGTAAAGGCAGATGAGCGAATACTTTTGGCAATTTGTGTGCAATATTAGTGTGCAATAATTTGCCTGCAGGTTGTTGGCTCAGACAGCATGTCTGTGTTTGTGTGTTGAAGACTTGGTACGACCACTATCTCCAGTGGAACCAGAGCGAACATCCTGGAGTGAAAAATCTTCGCTTTACCACAGATCAAATTTGGACCCCAGACATCCTCCTCTACAACAGGTAAACCCTGCATAAACCCCTAAACGCTCGCCTCGTACGCGCACACGTCAACAAGTCGTGTCACTTCTTCCTCTGTCCTTCCTCAGTGCAGATGATGACTTTGACTCCACCTTTAAGACCAATGTTCTGGTAAACTCCAGCGGCTTTGCCAAGTATCTTCCCCCAGGTGAGGCTTTCCACATATTTCTTAGATTTTAATCATCGTTCCTGCTCTCCCCGTCGCTCATCTCCCTCCACATTTCCCCGAGGTGCAACGGCAGCGTCTCATTCTACAATCGAGTCATGTCTCCCTACTGTTTGTACACTTGACATTAATATTTTATCACTGTAAAACAGCATCCCTAGTTAGTCACTGGTTACCGATTCCCAGCTCTGTGAGTAACACCTATAAATAGGAGACGCTCACTTCCTCTGCTTCCTGCCTTAACCCAAATGCAAGCCCACAAAAGTATAGACTCCCCTCTCGTGTTTCCACAGGCCTTTGCTTGCAGTTTCTCAGTCTTTTCGTTATACACCAGATTATCAAAGCCTGAGACTGAATCCCATCTCTTGGGGTGAGGAGAGAGCGACTGGGAGGGCCTGAAAAGACTTTTTGAATAAAAAGTCGAAGACTGCAAGCCCCAAAAGCCATCCCATGAGCTGCTGCTGAATGTAAATACAGCTGCTTAATTCTTTGTCTGGAGTCAATTAGTGGGAGAATACAAAGATACGATTTGGAAAAATATGAGAAGGAGTGGTTTGATGTGTGTATTTTATTAGTAAATGAGAAAAAGTAAGAAAAAGCAAAAGAATGAGAAACAAATCAGCTCCCTGACACATGCCTGGCTACAATTCCTGTTGTTCAGCTGGTTATTGTCAGTAAATAAGAGGCAACAAGTTTGTGGGTGTCAGGCATGGAGCGGGGAGCTTGACACACAGTAAATAATTCAGATGTGGAGGATCCCAGATGTCTGCTGCGTGCCGTCTGAATAACTCCTCTTGCTGCAGAGGTAAAGGTGCTGTGTTGTGTTAATGGCCTAACAGGAAACGTCGTGTAACAGGCTTTAGCTCATATCTGGACCGGATGACATTTATAACAAGGTAATCTTGTCTCTAGGCCTTGAAATGCTCAGAATGATGGAGTTTTATTTTGGGAGCCGTACGCGCTGCGAGACAGATTGTTCCAAGCTGCAGAGAAGATTCTGGCGCCTTGTTTGAAGGTGTTGTTTCAAGGTTACTGGATATATTCGAGAGGCAGGCTGCAAATATGCATGGATTTGAAGCACAGAGAGGTGGATCTGCTTTAGCTTAATCGGTGTACGTTTAGATTTTAGGGCCTTAGGAGCTCATAACTGGAGTAATTATAAAGACACACTCATGAAGCAAAGGTTGGAACCTGAGGTTAGGAGCTGGATTTTAGTGAGTAAGAAGTGCAGGGAGAGAGAAAATCTATACCTTCCACCTGTTAGCCCCCTTTCCCTGTTGTCATTTACCTCCACAGGCTGATTTGCATGTGGGCAGGCTCATAATGAACGTCTTTGAGAGCTGCAAGGCTTCACTGGCATTTTGGTTCTCTGCACTTGTGTGTGTGAGAGACCGTTTTATTTCAGTAATTACTTTAAGAGCTGCAGCTCACCAGCGACCACAGCGAGGATCATTGCAATTTTTCGTTTGAGGGTGGAAGTGTGTCTTTATGATTTCTTGGTCACTTATGCCGTGCATATGGGAGCGGTTGCATTTATTATTTCTGCATAATAGAAGTGGGAATCTGATTATGGCACTGTGCACAATCTCATTTTTCAGTGTCATCGTTGATGTTTTCTTCTCTAGCTGAGGCTTAGCTAACAGCTGTGTGTGTGTGTGTGCAGGCAGAGAGCAGAAGCAGCATTTGTTCACAGCAGAAAATATCTGAAACCTGTGAGTGACAATATATATAGCTGCCAAGTTTTGTTTTTATAGCCATCTCTTTGACGGGAGCTCGTTTCTAATCTAGTCCTTGCTTTCACTTCCTCAGCCTCCAAACAAAATTTAAAAACTCTCTGTAGACCTGCAGGGTGTTCATAAAAATGCTGTTGCAGTGTGCACTTTTGGTTGTGATGTAACATTTTTCACACAGTTGTAGAAAGTTAAAAAAAAAAGAGGTCTTGAAGTGAATGAATGATTTCTCTAACAAGGAACTTGATATTCTGGACAGACTCCCTGCACTAAACAAATGGTCCGGCTGTACATCTTTCCCTTGTCACCTCTCCTCAGGAAGCGGCGGTTCATTATTGTCATTTAGTCAATTGATTGAGGAGCCCCTGTGCTTTTGTCCTTTTCTCAGGAATCTTTATGAGCACATGCAATGTGGATGTTCGCTGGTTTCCTTTTGACATTCAGAAATGTGAGCTGAAATTTGGCTCTTGGACGTACGACGGCTGGCTGCTGGACCTCCAGATGGTCGACGCTGACATCTCCGGCTACATGCCCAACGGAGAATGGGACCTAATAGGTGAGTAGGGGAAAAAGTTTGCATTGCATTCACTTTTATTCAGGCATGAGCAACCAAACTAGTTTCTCTCCTACTTCCAGGAGTTCCTGGAAAGCGGAATGAGGTCTTCTATGACTGCTGTAAGGAGCCCTACACGGATGTGACATTTGTTATTACAATAAGGCGGCGAACGCTTTACTACGCCTTGAACCTTCTCATCCCATGTGTGCTGCTCTCTTCTATGACGTTGCTCATTTTTGTGCTGCCTGCTGACTCCGGGGAGAAGATCTCATTGGGTGAGTGGACAAAAACTTTGTTTAAAAAACCTCCCCAAAACAATGAACCCCCCCCCCCACACACACACACACACACATTTAGAGTAAACCAGTCTGAGAATCAATGCAAGCTCATTTGAGTTAAAACATATTTTGTAATTTTTGCAGTTTCTTGCCTCTAGTCACTAATCTGCGTGTAGCCAAGAAACAAAGGGACACCGGTAAAATACCAGGGAACTGTAAAGCAGGTAATCATGAATGCAAACAATGAAAGCTTCAAGTGCAAGATGCACACAGTGTAAAGAGTAAACCTGAAGGAAAATAGAAACTTCAGGCACATAAACTCACTACACAGCCAAGCTGCTGTAATACATGGAAGAAGCGAGGTGTCTTCTATGAAAAAGATGGCTCCCCAAAAGCAGCACGTGTGGCCATGACTTTTTGTAGTTTTTAATTGCTCTGCTTTCAACTTTCTCCAAGCATGTTGCTGCAAATGCAGTAAGACTTCCAAATGTCCCTTATATGATTGAAACGACTTGCAGGTTTTACACAGTGTTCGGGCTTTTTGAAACGAATGTATATATTTTGTAAAAAGAACGTGTCAAATATGCAAAAATCTCCAACTTGCTCCCGGGTTTGAGTGAAGTAGTTTATAGGCTGCCAAAAACTGAGCTCACAACAAGCAAGCCATCCCGGAATAAATTCAAGAAAAAAAAAAAGAATCGAAGGAGTGGCACTGGAGACTACGGGGAGGCATGAAACAGACAAAGGGAGAGGGGTGGGGAGCTGAGAGAGGAGAGGGATTACAGGATAAAATAGAAAGATGAGAAATGCGAGGAGGAGGAACACAGACCGATGGGTGTGGGAGGGAAGCAAAAAGATAACACCGACAGGAGAAGAATTCGAAAAGGATGAGAGAGGACAGCACAAAAGAGAGAGGGACGACTGATGAGGAGGAGAAGGGGAGAGACATCCAAATCGCACAATAATGGGCTGGAAGAGAGAGAGAGAGAGCATTGCCGGGATCAAGCAGCAGCTGCAAATATGTTTTAATATCTGCTTCAACCTGTTTAGAGATGACTAATGTTCATCTCCTCAGGACATTAAATAGTCCAGATTTCACGTTATCTGACATTTATAGAGGTAAAGCTGTTAGGCAACTAATGGAAGAGGAAAGTGGTTGAAAAATTATGACTATGTTTGGGAAACCGATTAAGTTTTATAAAGTAAAAATAGAGAAAAAGTCTCAGCTTTACATTTTTTTAATCTAATTTAATTGGTTCAAGATTTTTTTGTGTCACTTTTGAATTTTGTGAAATTTTGCATTCTTTTTTCCACCATTTATTTGACTAATTGTTTAAGAAAATAGAAGATTGCAGCTTGATATTGCATTAAGTTCACCTTGGTAACTGGATAAATCTAAATGCTCTTTGACTCATGTCTGCTTGGGAGGCAACAGCATTGTCAAAGCCTAACCTCACCCCCGATGCAGGATGCATTACGCAGCATTTCCCCATAAAAGGAGGAGGTGGGGGGGATGCCAAGCCTTACACACACGGACGATTAACCTATTGATGTAATTAAAGCTAGTGAATTGATTGGGGGGAGAGCTTGCACACTGGCTTCCAGAAAAATACTCTGTCACTTCACTTGATGGAGGAGACGCGTGCACCGAGCGGCCGAGCAGTTAGGGTTAGAGGTACATGCTTTTAAAAAGAATAAATGTCATATGTGAAGAGAAAAAGTGACATAAAAGACGCATTTTTAATTCACCTAATATCCTTAAAGAGCATTCATATTTTATCTCTCGGCCTGGGAGTTTAATTGAATGCCTCTGAATGGGGACAGTTATGCCAGCAAAGCACTCCCTAAATTCCGTCTGCTGGAGAAGTGAGACAGATTGCGTGGCGGTGGATAAATGAAGATGGAATTGCGGGAGGGTGTGAGGAGTGTGTTCGCGTGCACACCGGTGGTGTTTGAACACCTTTAAAAAGGGTTATGTGCTGTGTATGCGGAAGTGCTTTTTTTTTTGCTTTAGAGATGCACAATGCCAAAAAAGTGATTCACTGTACGAGCGTTAGCCAGTCATTTACATAAATCGAACCCGATCTCCTCCTGAGTGTGACTATTTATCAAAATACCAAACAGACTAATGCAGTTTCTCAGAAGTAGACAGAGCGACTGAGGGGAGGAGACCAAACCACTGGATCGATGGCCTAACAAAATGTATTATTTCTCTTTCTATCTGCAGGTATCACCATCCTGCTGTCTCTCACTGTTTTCATGCTGCTGGTCGCAGAGATCATGCCAGCCACATCTGACTCCGTCCCTCTCATAGGTATGTGAAAGATGGATATATTCATAGGAAAAAGAATCTGCTGCCATCGCAACACACAGCATTAAATCAGGCTGTCTGACTCACTGGAAATACTGCATGCAGTTTCTATCTGATGGGCGCGATCGATACTTTGTGCTTGTTTTTTGTTTGTTATAATTGATAGTTAGCCTGTGGATGCTGAACATGTTGATTAAACAGTTAGGCTGATAATTCGTTGGGAAAAGACACATTTTTTTTGTAGTTTCGCCTCTGTGTGTCACCTCGGTGGATTTTAAACCAAACAATTAAGATGTGATTGAAGTGCAGGCTTTAATTCGAGGCTTTGATTCTGGGGTTTTACAACAAATTTAAATGAACTGTTTAGGAACTACGGTGACTTTTGTACACAATTCCCCATTTTCAGAGGCTCAGGAGGAATCGGACAGACTAATATAGTTTTAAATATCAGGACTGTTGGAGTAAAATCCAAGGCTCAACTCTAGAATCCGTGAACATCACCAGTTGTTGTGATTCCTCCCTTGAGATGCTCTGCTGGGCGTTTAGTGCAGCCACCTTCAGTTGCAGGCCTAAACATGCTGTCTTGGGTTGACATCAGTGACCAACCATTTGAAGAAAATCCCATTTCTTCTCCTTGAGAAACTCTTGGGTTGCTTTAGTAGTTTGGTTTGAGTCATTATCCATTTGCACTGTGCAGTCCACTTTAGACTCTGAGCAGGGAGTACAGTCCTGTGCACTTCACAATTCATCCTGCTGCTTCTATCAGGAGTCACATCATCAATAAGCACTAGTAGTCCAGTTCAGTTGGCAGCCATACATGCTCATGCCACAAGATTGCCTCTACCTTGTTTCACAGATGATGTGGTAAATTTGGATTGATGAGCTGCGTCTGTCCTTCTCCTTACTTTTCTCTTCCCATCTTTTTAGGACAAGTTCATCTTGAAGGGTCTGCTGATTGTAGATCAGCATCTCTAAGAGCCTTGGTGACTGTTAGATGTTGTGAACTTGTCTTCTGTGGTCTGTTAGACATTTTGGTGTTGGCCAGTGCATTCCTTCTTTTTAAAAATCTGTTGAAATTAAAAATACTGTGTCCAACAAATTATGGACCTAACTGTAGACTTTCCCAAGGTTTCAATGACCAAGTGTCAATTTAGAGGGGATACACAAGTGTCCCTGTGACCATTCAGATGGTGTTTTTATATGCTGATAATGCTTTCGGGTTTACAGGTTTTTTTTAATTCATTAGCTGAGTGCTGCTGCCTTTTATACTTTGCCTTCAAGGCTGAAACGGAGGAAGTATGTTGTCTTCTGCAACGGTCTTACTGCAGTGCAAGAGTATAACATGAACTATGAATGGATGAAAGGAACATTACCCAATTGCAGGCTGCACAAAATGTTCCCATCAGCTGCTGTTCTGATAATCTGAGAACCCTGAAACTACATGAAAAGCTACCAGAGACAGTAGTTCTCACTTAACCACTTTCAGTGGAATGGGATTTTTTGTGCTTTTTAACCCATTTAACAGTAACCCATGGCTCATTCAAGCATGTAACAGGCTCCTAACTCCAGACACAAACCAGTGTTATTCTTATACATGACAGAAAACTTCATTTTAAATTTATTAGCAGCCTGTTGCAAAAACACATACATTGTTCCACAGTTTGGCAGACATAAAACAGTATTTTTGCACAAAGTCATATTCAGTGAGCTGTTAGCTGAAAACTTGGCATTTCTCTGGATGATGTGCAGTGTGTTCTAAAACATTTAAGGAAACTTGACAAGTGGAGGAAAAAAGAAGTGACCTAAAAAAAGTATCTACAGCTGATGAACAGTATCCGAAAGTCCTGTCCTTAAGAAATGGGAAAAAATGCAGCAAAGACCTGATAGAGGACCTGAGAAATGTGTCTGACCCTTCATTTGATCCATCTACTGTTAACTGGACCCTCATCGGAAATAGTCTGAGTGGAAGAGTGGCTGTCAAAAAAGCCATTCTTAGGGAAGGGAAACAGGGAACTGCAGTGAAAATCAGTGGTAACAGTGATCTTGTCAAAATTGATGAAATTCTGAATACACAAAAAGTGCAGTCAGGTTTTGATCCATAATGCAATACCATCTTGAAAGTGTCTGATTGACGACAGCTTCATCTTTCAGCATGACAATGATCCTAAACACACTAAGCAGTAAAACCACACCTGGATAGAAAAACTCACAATGCAGCACCATCAGTCATGGACTGACCTACCCAGAGCCCGGACCTCAACATTACTGAAGCAGTGTGGGATCATCTTGACAGAGAACAGAACAAAAGGCAGCCAACATCCAAAGAGGAGTTTTGAATGTCCTTCAAGAAGCCCGGAGAACTATTCATGAAGACACACTTAAAGACACACCAAGAAAGCTTCCCTAAGACAGAAGAATAAGGGTGGTCATACCAAACACTGACTTTCAAGCTGTTTGAATTGTACAGATTGCCTTATACACTTTATTTCCATGGATTTCATTTTGCACATTTTAATCAATTTTTGCACCTATTTCCCATTTTCATTGCAAAACATGGAAAATTGAGGGACTTTTGCACAGTACTGCACTACAGGAGACTAGAAAATCTACACAATGCTCCCCCCCAAAAAACTGTAATCACAGGATTTACTGTGGCCACCTGCTCACCTTAAAGTTTAATAGTCTAAATTGATTGTGGGCACGCTGCTGGAAATTATGTTTAGCGAGCTTAGACGGCAACCGACACAGATGCAAGGCCATCTTTGCCTGAAGACACAAATCCTGGTCATTAAAAGCGTAAGAGAAGAAAAAAAAGAGTCATAATCATTAGTGTTTTCCTTTCTGCTTGTTTTTTTAATTAGGAGAATCTGCTGTGGATTTAATCTGTTTGATGATTTTTTCCCCAGGAGTATAAACTTGGCAGAAGTTGTGTTATGAAGACATCCACCTTGATAAAAATAGGAACACACCATCCTTAAAAATTCATATTTTTCTTGAGAATCCCATCATAATGTGTTTCAGTGAAATACCTCATCTTGCTGACCTTAGAGTCCTTGAAAACAGACATTAAGCCATCATTTTGTAGATCTTTTACTTCTATACAACGATTGCTGGGCTGTTTCCTAAATAACATGCTGTAGCAGATACTGTGAAGCTCAGTGAGGCAGTAGGAAATTACGGTGTGACTTAAAAATGAAATATTTTACTCTCTCCCACTCCTCCCAGGTCAGTACTTTGCCAGTATAATGATCATCGTTGGGATGTCAGTCATCGCCACAGTGGTGGTTCTGCAGTATCATCATCACGATCCGACCGGAGGAAAAATGCCCAAATGGGTGAGCCTAACTCCACAAACATCATCACTTACACGCTTCGCTGCTTTAATAAGAGATCGGTCTTTCTAATTCACGCAGATATATTCAAATGAATCTTTTTGTTAATCTCTGTTCAAGCTTCAGTATAATTCTTCTGCTCTGCCATTTTCAATAACATGTCATCCATTTGTTAGCTCTATACCTGTGCTCCTCTGCCAGTTTTCTTTCGCTTTTTATTCTCTGACTTCCTCGGCTGTGACTCATCCAGCAGTGTCAGTCTGCCCGAGTGTGTTCATCAAATGCCTCACCACAGACTTCAACAGGAGTGCATTTCAAAGCACTCTGGATGTGTGGGAGGATTTGATTTGCCTCATTCCTTCTTTTTTTATTTTCCTCGCCTTTTTAATGATAAAAAATTCATCAAGCTTTGTTTTAACAAAGGTTTTGTCATAACGTGAATTTTTTAAAACATGAAAAATGTTGAAAGAAGGTGTGAAATGAAAATAAATGTCATGTAATGTAATATTAACCAACATCTTGAGATGTATTTATCCGGTGATTTATGTGTGGACTGCAGAGACGAACTGACAGGCCTGCAGTTTTCAATACATGTGCATCAGCTTTACTGCATGACGGCGCAGATGCTCGATGTATCGACACAATTCAAGGACGCTTTGTTGATGAATGGCTCGTTCAGACAGTCCAATGGCCAATTAACAGGCTAATTGATGTGGTTCAGATGAGGGCATCGAACCAGCACAGTTCATAATTACAGCCCTTGAAAAAAACCTACGTCAACGGCAGCAGCAACAGAGACGGTTACCTGGCTGGTAAACATACTCTGTCGAGTGTAATTGAGCAGTCATCTGGACATTAGCTGCTCATTAGATGCCAGACACCCATCTGGACTCTGCTGGGCCAGAATGACTTTCAGGGGACTTGGAGTCTTTTTTGTATTTTTTGGGAAAGCAGAAGCGAAGGTTTAAATTTGAATAAGGTCTCTATTTAAACATTGTTTAATGAAACATTACAGCAAACTTGTTAGAGTCATAAAACAGTAATGTAAGCACTGCTCTCAATATTTCCACAGTTTGAATGTATGCCTATTTCTAAGTTTCCTCTCTGTGGGGAATGCAGCCAAAGAAAAAAATTTTTTTTCCTCAGGCGACCCTGGTGAGGATCTCATACTTCTACAAGTGCAGCTGCAGTTTGAAAGAGACAAATAACTGCCTATTAGCCCAGCTTAACTGGCGTTAGGTGCAGGTCAGGATGTGTAGCTGCTTTTAGTGCTTCGTGGCTGCTTTCTTATGTTTTCTTTTACTTCTTTGAGTGCTTTTATGCTCTGTGCTCCCTCGAGTCCCCCGCTCTCATCCCTACATATCTCAGTGTCCCTCTCTCTCTCTCTCTTATTAGGTGCGGCTCGTTTTGCTGCAGTGGGTCGCGTGGTTCCTGCGGATGAAGCGCCCGGGTGAGAGTGACGACCCAGAGCGGCCACCTTGCGCCCCCCACCTGCGCCGCTGCTCCTCGGGGTCACAGAGCGGAAGCATCCCTAACCCTCCGGACTCCCTCCACCCGCTGCACCCACAGAACCTGGCTCCCCTCCAAACAGGGCCGCTTCATGCAGGGCACCCTCACCTCCAGGCTCAGACGAGTGCTAACAACAACGGGAATCTTCTATATATGGGTTTTCAGAGCATGGACGACCCCTCGGTGCTCCCGGAGAGCATCCAGAGAAACAACATCTCCGCTGGGCCTCTGCGAGTGGCGGGAAGCCCACCTCCACACCTGCCGTCACAATTTTGCAGCTCCCCTCCACCGCCTACCCCTAATGTGGAAACTGTAGGATGTCCCAGCACTGTCTCCAGTGGTGGGGGCTTTGGAGGTGGGGCGGGAGGTCTTGGAGGGTGCTCCACTGTAGGGATGGGAGACCCCCAGCTCCAGGCCATCCTGGAGGAGGTGCGTTACATGGCGGACCGCTTCCGGGAGCAAGATGAGAACGAAAGCATGGCGGAGCAGTGGAAATTTGCAGGCGCTGTGATTGACCGCCTCTGTCTGGTGGCATTTAGTGTTTTCAACATCATATGCACCATCTCAATCCTCATGTCTGCTCCCAACTTTGCGGACGCTATTTCAAAAGACTTTGTCTGAAAACAAAGAAAAAGAAAAAAAAAAAGAGGAGGAGAAGCGTGAAGGAAAGGATGAAAGAAACTAAATATGGGATAAAAGATGGAGTGGGCCCCGATCCAAGGAAACCCAATTTCCAGTGGACTGTAGGCTCTATGATTTGTGATTGCAAAGCAATCGGAAACAAAAAAAAAAAAAAGGTTTTCTTTGCAATACATTCTGTTTTGGAACTGAAATAAAAGAAGAAAACAGATGAAGAAGGGGATGGAGAGTGAAGGTAAAATGAGATTACGGCAAGCAGGGTGCTTTATCAGATTCTTGAAAAGGTGAAATGGATTCTTCTGGTTAATTCAAAGACTTTCCTCCAAAATTAGGGTGAGCGCTGAGCCAGAAATGGATAAAGAAAGGGAGGATTATCAGTGTAATCCAACCTGGAGTAAGAAAGCTCTTAGAGCAAGAGAGAGAGATTGAAAGAATAAGGGTGGAGAAGAGAGAGGCAGATAGATAAATGAAGCAGACATTTTACTGTTTTATTTTCTTGAAGAGAGAAGACAGCCCCAGACTCCCACATGTTGAGAAAATACTGCATCATTTAGAGTGATGTGAGGACGAGAGGGCGGGGAGAGGAGACAGAGACTTTTACAAGGACAGACAACAAAGAGCAGTCGTGAAGGAACGAGACTGCCTCTCCCACGGCACTGGCACAGTGAGGCGCAGTAAGCGGCTTGTTGCTGGATACGCAAAAGTGGACCGAAGAGCAAGAAAGCACAGAGGAACAGAAGAGGATCTCATCTATTATTCAATCGCACCCATCTAATGACCGTCAAATTGAAAGACCTCGGATAATCTTCAAGACTAATAAGCTTTTAAAAGATGAAGTCCCTCCACTGCTCGCGAGCCACTTTAAATTTGCGAGGCCTTATCTCTTTGAGACGATTGCCAATCTGCAACAATCAGCAGAGATCAAAGCTCCTCAGCAGTGTGCACAGTGTGCGGCGCTAATCATGACTGGGAAACTGAATTAACTGGTCATCAGTGATGCAGTGGCCGGTAGCTGCACCACAGCGGAGACCTGAACCGATAATAACTTACGAGGCAGTCATCTAAGTGGATCTGGCAGCTCGTAATAGACCAGCGAAACTCATTGGATTTCGTATTAAAAGGTTTAATAACTCAGAGGGGAGGTCAGGGTTTTAAAAGGGCACGAGAGGCAGAAAAATAGGGCGAGGGCATTCTAAATAAAAATATATATATTACAGCGAAAAAACATCCCATCAAATTTCTGTACGATCTATTGAAAGGTTTAGAGTCTCCTCAGTGATCTAAAATGAGATAAGAGAATTTAATAGGATCATATTTTCCATGAAATACACTGCAGTGGCATTTTGAAGGTTTATGCCAACACACAGACTACTTATATGGACAAAAGTAATGGAGCACACCTCTTAATCTTTGAATCCAAATGCTTTTAGTCCCATTGCTGCAGGTGTATAACAGCAAGCACTCAGCCATGCAGTCTGCATTCAAAAACATTTGTGAATGGGTGAGCGAGTGAATTACAGCGTGGTACTCATATTCAGTTTGTGAAGCTTATATTGATATTTAAAGATCAGCTGTAGCATTGCTGCTTTCAGCTGCTACCCTGTCACTACAGGGTCGCTGCAGCGGGTAGCTCCATGTTTGCCAGATGTACTGCAAGGCAAATTAAAAACAACAACAACAGCAAATAGTAAAATGCTGCAAAGGCGACCAATACACAACGGAAATAGAAAAAAAAATGCAATAAAAGCTCACAAAAAACAAAAACAGCTAATCGTGACAGCTAATGATGATAATATCATTAGCAGTTGTCTTTTTCTGCCACACAGCACAGATGAAGCCTCTGCTTCCTTTAAGCGTGTCTCAGTACAGTTTGCATATTTTGGTTTCTGTCACATCTGCAGCTGTTCCATCACACTTCTGTTGGGTTTCGTGTGCTTTTTCCTATTTGCTGGTGGGTTGTTTTTTTTATTTTAGTTGGAGTGCATGTGAACCCACAGAGGAACCATACGGATGCCCTTCCTGAAGTAATTTGTATTATTGTAGTGTAGAAGTGGAAGGAAACACAGCAACTCTGACACATGAAGTTACAGAGCGGTGTTGTTGAACGCTGAGGTGCATAGTCCGTAAAAGTTGCCAATCCTCTGCAGAGAGATAAACCTCCCCTGACGTTAATATCAGCACAATATCTGTTCGCTGGGAGCTTCATAGCATGGGTTTCCATGGCCGAGCAGCTCTTGTAGAGGCAGTGTGCCAGTGCTTTTGTCCATACAGTGCAAGTCCAGTCAAACAAAAAATGAATTGTCTCTGCAGAACGCATATAAAAGATTAATGTAGTAATCGTGATGTCAGCGATGGTTAGCAAAGTCCCCATCCCAGTCCAGAGCCTGAGCTGAGCATGCTGGCTGTTTGCCATCTTGATGATTTAAAACTGGAAACGATGAGGAAGGGAGGATGTGACTGAGAAACTGAGGGATGCTGCATGCTCGTAGGGTAGCAACTTGTCAGTCACAGGACAGGCACGCCCTAATGCACACACACCCTGCTTTATCTACCTTTAAGGACAGTGAGGAGATCATATTTTACTAAATAAACATCGTATTATCCAAGAATTGAAAGTAGCAATCACAATCATAAACTCATCAAGAGTGTTTATTGAAATCAAAGATAAAGTGAGTAGGATATTTGTTTTCCCCATAGACTCTATTTTTGGTCTGAGACAGTTATGTATTGGCTGCACCTTTTAGACTCTGTAGCTTTATCTACCTTTTATATATGCTTTATATTTGGGTGTCTGCAAACAGTTTGAAGGTATGCAGAATGCAAAGTTAGTCCTGTTTACAAATATCTATGGATTAATGGAGCTTCTCCTCTCCGGTCTCGACAAAGTTAGACTCGCTTCCCTAACTTTGAGTGTTTCTCAGCAATTTACAGTAAAAAGACGAGGAAATTATAAAAAAAAAAGTCCAATGTGCTTTCATTGTACTTGCACAGGATGTATCTAAAAGTGTTCCCTCGTTGTTATATAACACAACACGAGTGCACTTAACAAGTCCCAGAACTGAATGGAAATGTAACATTGTGAAAAATACTAAAGTCGTGCGACCCTACATTTAGTCAGTGACAGCGGAGATGGGAAAGGAGAATTTATAAGTGTCTGAAATCTCAATTTGATCCTCACTATGGAGTAAGCTATACTGAAATAATGGGAGTTTAATGATGCGGGGATTTTGAGCACAAAGATTATAAGGGAAGGATGAGTCATTGAAACAGCTAGGATAGAGCCCACCTTTAACAGCTCAGAGTCTGCCAGTGTTTCACTGATGCTATTATCTGAGCATTTCAATGTGAATTTCTATGTGAGTACAATTCTAGTGCACAGCTACTAAAAAATGTTCAAACTCCCACACAAATCAGAATTGGATAAGTGGTTAAAAAAGATGGAGGGATGAATGGAAATTGTTCAAACTAGTCTGTGTGTTGCTTTTGAAAGAGATAATACGAGTGGTTGTCTATTAGGATGTAATGCAAATACAGCAAAGTCCATCATTTGATGGTCGAGACACAACTGTTATAGTTTTGCGTCTATACACCACTACAGAGGATTTCAAATCAAACAATTACAATGTGACAATCACTTTTATACGCATTCCCCCATTTTTAGACTGGACGTGAGTCTGCAGCATCCTAGAGAAAAAAACCCATCTTTGAACAGATGAAACTAAGATGAATTTGTACCAGAATGATGGGAAGAAGGAGAAAAGCAGCTCATAATTTGAAGCCTACCACATTTTCTGCCAAACTCAGTCGAGCGCTTCACAGTGCAAATGGCCAAAGGCAAACTGCAAAAGCAAGTCAGTTACCTGATCTCAGCCCCAAAAAGCATGCTTTTCACTTATTAAATACAAAACTGAAGAAAGTGAGACTCATTTCAAGAGAGGAAGCCCAGCATTTGGTGATATCCATGGGTTCTAGACTTCAGGCAGTGACTACAAAAAACTTTCATACAAGTGCTTAAAAATAAGTCCATATATATTTAATAATATGTTAGTAAGTCCAATTAATTTTGAGCCTCTGAAAATGGGGGAGTGCGGATGAAAAAGGCAGTAATTACTAAGCAGTAAATTCAAGCAACACTTGAATTAAAACTGCACTTTAATCACATATTCAGTGTTTGCTTTAAAATCCACTTTGCCGGCGTGCAGAAGTACAAAATATGCCGTGTCTTTCCAAACACGGAGCCTTAAACAGCCCACAGAGGTCTGTTTTAACATTAAACTGTGGATAACTTGTGTTTTCTTCAACTGTGTGGCAGGTGTTGGATCTCACTAAGCTCACTATTGGACCATACCTTTAAACTGTAAGCAGAGACATAAATCACTTTCATTCAGTTTACCTGACTGCTGTGTGGGAGAATATCCTCAGATACTAAACAACCCACTGAAGGATAAAAGCAGAGTTTCTCTGTATTTTTCAACAAATCCCAAGGTTGACGCTATTTTTCTTCTTTTAATTTGAAAAAACAGTTAAGCAGTGCACTTCTAGCAAGCGTTTTACACCGTCAGACGCACATTTGTTGCTGTTCTTGCAGCAACAGAACAATGGCTGAGGGATTTACCCTGATAAAATACAACAGAGCCCGTGTTCATCATAACAGAGGAGCATGACACTCAGTGTGAAGTGTGGCTCATTAATGCGTTTTATGACACAAAGGAAAAGGAAGCTTTGACCACACAGGCAGTCATTTCAGCAGATTTGTTTTAGTTTTAATGGGACTTGATGATAATAAACAAAAATCTCCTACTTTACTCCTCTAGGACAAAATATGTTTACTGCATTACATTCCTGACCAGCACTGTCTGTGCACATGTATTTTCTCACTGTGAACTGATAGAGTGTAGAGACAGCTGTACAAGTCCTTTATAACTCCTCTCTACTTGCCTTCATCTTTTGTCTTCTCTCTCTTCCTCTTTAAAGCAAAGTCCTCTAGCAAGGCAGAAGGTAAACTTCCTGCCAGAGGGTTTACGAAAGGATGTTTTCCTTCGAGCACATACTGACACCTGAACACTCACATCTCTGTACAGAGCATTTCTCATCCTGAAAATAAAAGATTCTCTCTTTTTGTTTTTCCTACT